CTGAGTAACATCAAATTTCAGCCAAGCCTGCGATCTTGACCAGCCTCAGTAAACCAACCGTAACCGCTTAAAGGCAGTGTCTCACCAAAATTTAGTTGCCGAGATTTTTGCATTTTGCAAGCCTGTCGGACCTTGTCTAGCTCTGTATGGGCTTATAATCGCACGAAGTCTTAAAACCCCGTTTTCTTGAGGCCCCGTGGAAGCAACGTGGACGAGTTGTACCTTCCAACTTCATCCTCAACCACAGTGGCAGCAACAGCTCAGATAACCGCCGGGGGCAGGCGGCCATGCGAATTTTGAGCAAGCGCGCACCGGAAAAATAGTTCGTTGATTTTTTGCGGCCCGCTTGCAGAAATTTGGAAGAAAGTTGGCGAGATCAAAGACGAATGCTTGAAGAACAATCGCGGTTTCTTTATGGATTAGCTGCGGCGCAGTGGCCGCATTCTCGCGGACTTTCCGCGAAAATATGCAAAAATTTCGAGGGCCGCACGGTCCTTTGTGGAGAACCGCGCAACCCCCAGGTACTTTCCGCTGAGAGAAAGTACTTCAAACTTGAGTAATTAAACCAATGGTGACACCTCTGCCACACAGAGTCTTACCTGCGCTCGACGTACGCCCGAAAATGCCTTAAAAGAGTCCGAGCGCTTGCTGAAAGTTTGGCCAGCGCTCGCTGAAAGAAACTATGTGCCGAGCGCTTGCAAATAATGCTGTATTGCTGCCCTCTGGCAGAATATGCGACCGTAAAGGAAGTGGCCCGCTGAAGGTTTGGCCACGCCCCAAAATTCTGCTGACCGCCTGCAGAAAAGCGCGAGTTTGCGGACCGCCTGCCCCCGGCGATTATCTGAGAGGGGGGAGGTAAATGCCAAGTGGAAGAACATGTTCAAACGCGTAAGGGGAGAGACCGAAGGAGTCGTCCGCGCGTACCAACTCGCTCTCCGCGTACCACTTTGTGCGAATTTTTCCCAGCGTGGAGGGTGTTAAATTGAGTGGGACTTGTTGTAGCGGCCTATTCAGAGGTCCCTATAATAGAATATGTGAAGATCCGCGCGACCTCAATTTTGGTGAGACACTGCCTTTAATATGACGCTTCTAAGCGATAAGCATGATATTTTTGATCCCCATTTTGAACAACAAAACCAGATTTCAGCCAAATTCGCGGCTTCTCAGACAAATTGAGGAAGGGTCCCGGGCTCTGTCTAGCGGGAGTTTGCCACTCGTGCTCCGAAGCCCTCCCATTTCACCCATTTTGGTGCTTTGGGGCTTCTCGCCAAAATCTGGCGCGCCTCAAGAGCAGAGATTTACGAGCCCCGCCGGGGAGGGGTCCCATTCGCCTTCTTGGGACATCACCGTGACGTCACAAGAAATGGGGGGGGGGGGCTCCGGGGCACGAGTGGCAAACTCCCGCTGGGCAGAGCCGGAGACCCTCCCACACTTTTCGGGAGGTCGTCGATTGTCTGAGTTTGTATCCTTAATCTATATCCACCGCAACAAGAGGCTTTACCATGCGGAAACAGTTTGGTGTTTGTGATTAGCGTGTCCAGTCCTTCGAAAGAAGCTTCAGCAGAAGTTGAGATTGTGATTAGTGTGTCCAGTAATCTTTCGAACGAAGCTTCAGCAGAAGTTGAGATTTTGGCAACATACCAAATACTCACTGTAGCCCCACAGTAAGGCAGTCCATAATACTGTTTTTGTAATCAGCATGTCAAATAATAACTCCCCTCCACGCCTTTGCCTCTCCCAAATGACTTTCTTTTTTAAATCTTTTTTGTAATCTTATAAATTCAAAGCTCATTGATTCTAGCGTTCAAGGAATCGAACTCCACAAATGTCTCAAAACGCAGCTAACGCGCTTCGTGAGAGATCAGTAGTCTTATATTACTGTCCGAGATATTATTGATTGACAACTCTTTGACAGCCTTTTATGATAAAGATATAGATAAAGATATTAGCTCAACTTGGCAGAACTTTAGAGGAAAGTACTTACAAGGGAAGTCACTTAATTTAAGTCGACCTTTTGAGATGGAACACATATATTTAGGATCAGCTCGCGATGCTGATTCCAAATATGCTGTCATTAGCTGCGAAGCAATCCTCTGAAGCGAGCTATGAGCTTTTCAGTATGTGTAATTTACATATAACTGAATATGGAAAGAAGTTCTTTAAATGAAAATCTGCCTTGAAAAGTGGTGGGAAATCGAAATAACATCAAACTGAGTTATTTGGCTTTGATAGGGTGTTAGGGTGTTGTATGCATTTGAACTACTACCTGGATGACGATACCGCAGCATGCTTAAGTCGGTCAGCACGCAAACTTTGCTTAGGAAAAAGCTCATAACTAGCTTCAGAGGAATGCTTCGGGCTTCGCAGCTAAGGACAGCATATTTGGAATCAGCGTTCTGAGCTGATTCTAAATATATGTGTCTCATTTCAAAAGGCCGACCTAAGTTAAGTGACTTCCCTTGTTAGATGTCAATATAGCCATATGTAAAAGAAGGAGAGAGAGAATAGATAAAGAGAAGACAAAACTTAAATATGTTTTTGCGCATACTGTTTTCGGGGCTAAGAAGTAGACCAGATATGCGACCTTCCTTGGTGCCCCAGTGTCGAAACATTTTCAACAGTAGTTCCCAAAGAAGTGTCCAAAACATAACTTATGTGAGGACATGAGAGATAAGATGAGAATAAAGAGATACTGAAGGTATTTCCCGCCATTGTGAATCTTGGTTTACGTTTCCGTTATCCGGACCCACTTTTTCAAAAAATTCCAGTGAATAAGCGCTTCAGTTTGAAAATAAAGTTCTATAGATTTTATAAAGACTATCTCATTGCCATGTGTCAGGAAAGAAACTGACACGTTGTTTCAATTTGAAATGTTTTTTAAGATTCATTTCCGGTAAACTATAAGAGCATTTGAAATCATTTGAAAGTTGTTTACTGTTTTATATAAAAAGCAAGACAATCCAGAACGTTGATTGAAACATCCTGATCGTTTTCAGCAATTACTCAAAATTATCTTCCTCATAAGGCTGTGCTATGGGGATTCAGCCACGAAAAATATAAAGATGGCTTGAACTACTTGCCGCTTTTTCGCTTTTTAAATGTTGGTTTCCTAGTGTACTACCATTTGATTATCGGCAAAGGCGGGGCTTCGTGACCTAGTTAAGGCTAGGTCATGGTCGGAGAGACTCGCGCGAGAGACACGCAGGGGCGTCGCGGGCGCGAGCGCCTTCATTTAGATCACAAAACTCCGCCCTAATGGTGCCAAGCCAGTTGAATCAAATGTTACCCTGTTCCGGGTTAATCTAGTATGTTCATTGAAAACAGGATGACATCCTTAGATTGTTGATATTAATTTCTAGAATTGTTGAATCAACAAGGGTAATTATTGTTTAGAAAACAGACTGAATCTAGGGCCCGTATACACGTACATCCCCGCTAGGGAGGGAGGGGATCTGAGAGGGGATGCGTCATATCTCGCCACTCTACGTATCTTTCTTCTTCCTTCTCTATCTTGCTTATGAAGGTTTTCATAACATTGACCTGCACATAATTGATGCCAGGTTACTGGCGTGATTATTTAGATTTTCACTATTTTGTGTGATCCCCTGGGGATCCCCTGCTGATCCCCAGGGGATCACCTCTCATTTTCAAAGTGATTTATCTTCTTAAAAACAGTGAAAACGCTGTAAAATTGTACTGTGGATACACTACGGCACTGCTAAAGATGTTTTTAGTTGAAATAAGTGAAATCTCAGGATATGGAAATCTTCGGTATTTCCTGGCTCGAAAGCTAGGGATCATCGAAAAATTCACAATCTTCAGATACCATTTAGCAGTGCCGTAGTTTATCCTCAGTACAATTTTGCGGCGTTTCCATGACTTCTCAGGGAAGATCAATGGCACTGAAATTGAGAATTGTTCCCCTGGGGATCCCCTGGGGATCCCCAGGGGATCACACAAAATAGTCAAAATCTAATCAGTTATGCCGGTAACCTGGCATCAATTATGCGCAGGTATTAGGGTATGAGAACCTTCATAAGCAAGATAGAAAAGGAAGAAGAAAGATACCTAGAGTAGCGAGATATGATGCATTCCCTCTCAGATCCCCTCCCCTCCCCAGCGGGGATGTACGTGCATACGGGCCTAGGCGTAAGGCCCTGGGCAGAGCTCATGCGACTTCGTCGCGCCTTGCTATTTTGGACAAGTGTTCCACGCCACGCTGTCGACTGTGTGGGTCCCGCCGCACTTGTGGTGGCTGCGCGGCTCTACGGATCGCGCCACACTTTTCGGTATTCATAGCTCACTTGGCGAGATCGTTGCGATTTTGTCGAGTCGGTGCGATGTCGCGTCGCCCGTCTGCGGCGATCGACGGGACGACCGTCGCGTGTTTTCTAAACCGTGTTTTCGATTTCTTTGGTGTATTTTGCTGTTTTTTGTGAATTGTAAATATTTTCTAAAATATTGCTTTTTTTGTAATTTATGAGTGTTTTTGCATGAAATGCAAGCACATGAAATCGCGTCAGAGGTATGCACGCCTGCGACCGAGAGGACCGATGAGCGACTCAGTTGCCGCTGCTAGTCGCCACTTCGAGCAAGTCGTTGCGATCGGAAATCGCGACGACTTCGTCGCATGAGCTCTGCCCGGGGCCTAAAGTATCTCGGTGCAAATCCTTGTCAGAACCTGTTAAATATGTAACTGACATGTCAATATTTTTTGGCACTGAGGTTAACAATCTTAAAGTTGGGATCGCATTTTGTACAATGAAAGAAGTAATATCTTCTTTTGAAAAAGTAAGCCCGGACACGGAAAAATATCAAATTATATTTACAACCTAATAGTCAAGGATGATGTACAAGAACTGTAATAGAAATGTGCTTGGATCGAAAGTCTTATAAGAGTTAGTCATGCAGCATCACTCTCTAAAGATATTCCACTACTCCGTCTGTTTGGTTCTTGTGTCATTAATAAACTAAAGCTTTTTATCTTCCGAAGTGCTTACCGAGACGATTACAGGTATGATATATCGCCAAGAAAAGTGAAGATATACATTCATATGTTGTCCATAGTCTATGACTGGTGACGATGAAGTACCCATTGTCTGAAAATAGCGGAATTCGCTAAAATGTTACACTTGAGGATTACAAGCGGGTGAATTAGACGAGAGACTTAGGCCCGTATGTACATACACGCTCGCGGGGGAGGGGAGGAGATCTGAGAGGGGACGCGTCATATTCGGTAGTCTAGGCATCCGTATTCTTCTTTTTCTGTATATTTTATGAAGGTTCTTACGTCCCGATATGTGATTATGATAGATGGCAGAGCCATTGCCATACAAGTAGAGATTTTCACTGTGTGATTCCCTGGGGATCAATAACCTTTGTTTTCAAAGCCATCTACCTTTTCAGGAACTTAATAAAAACGGGACAAAATTGTGCTGAGGATCCACTGTGACACTGCTGGGGATGTGTGACAGTACAAATGAATTGTGCAGATTGTGAGTTTTTCGATGAAGTTCAGCTCGCGAACAGGGGGTTCATCGAAAATTTTGATATCCTAAGACTTCACTAATTTATACTGCGAACATGTTCAGCAGTGCCATAATATATTCTCGGTACAATTTTGCAGTGTTTTCATCGAGTTAATAAGAAGATTAATGATGATGAAAATGTGAGGTGATGAGCATTCCCTCTGGCAGCGTTCTGCCATTAATTAACTAACAAGGGAAGCTTGTTTAGTCGAAGTGGCCTTTCCAAATGAGATGTATACCATACTAAAGCGCATAAAACGCTGATTCCAAAACTGTCTTTTTTATCTGCAGAACGTTTATGGACGAGAAGTTATGAGCGTTTTCTGGAGCCAAAAATTGAATTTGCATTTTGAATAAAATGAGTTGCTAAAATCTTACTAGCCTTCAAATAACGTAACCAAGTGTGGCATAATTTTTATTTTAAAGTAATTTTCAAGTGAAGTGTTTTGGTGATTATCACTGCTCCGTTGAAGAGCTAGAAAAAGTCAAAAAACGCTCATAACTTCTCGCCCATAAACGTTCTGCAGATACGGAAAGCAGATTTGGAATCAGCATTTTATGCTCTACAATATGTCTACGTCTTATCAAAAAAGGCCACTTCGACTAAACAAGCATTCCTTGTAAGACATTAGGGTATGCGAATTTTCATTAGATGGAAAAAGACTAATACAAATACTTAAAGTAGATATGACGCGTTCCCTTTCTGATCCTCTTCCCTTCCCAGGGATGTGCGTGTATACAGTTCCTAAACACTCTCAGGGCCGCATGCAGTAAAGGCATCGTCCACCCAGATTCTCGACTTCTAGGTTTTTGTCGTTTCAGGGCCTTCTCATGTCCCTGATTCCAAATATGATGACGAGAATCTACGAAAACCCCGACAATCCCCCTTCCAAAGAACCCACAGGCGGCTCTCCAGAACGGTGATTGGATAAGCGCGCACAGATGGGCGGGAATGGATGGGGAGGGGCGGGCATGGATGGGGTCCTCGTGCATCTTCACTATTCCGAAGCGATTTTCTCGCTTCCGAAGCGGCATATTGCGCCGTGACTTGGGCATTGGCTTGGGCTTGATAAAAGACCCTACGTTTATATGCTGTCAAAAGCTCAACACCTCAACTTAGGGTGGACGGTGCCTTTAACATCCCCGCTGGGAAGGGGATTGCAGTTTAAAAGAAAGCTTCATATCCTGAAGCTCTAGATATCTGGATTTCACGCTATCTATCAGAAAGTATTCTTACCATCCTCTACTATGAACATATTGAATAGAAGTGAGAAGCTATACAAGCCGCATTTTCAAGCTTTTTGTATGATTCCCTGGTGATCCCCAGGGAAAGACCGTCTACTCTTTGAAGTCATTTTTCTTTCTTTAGAGTCAATGAAAACATTCCAAAGTTGTATTGCTTATCCAATCCAACAGTGCTAAGCATGTTGCTGATAAGAACAAATGATGCTTTGGAGTCGTAAAATTTCCGATGACCCACAAGTCGAAAGTTGGGGTTTATCGGAAATTTCGATATTTCAGAAACTCGTTTGTTCTCATCAGCAATAAGCTTAGCACTGTTGGGTTGGATAATCAGTGCAAAAGTTTGGAATGTTTTCATTGACTTGAAGAAAGAGAAATGACTTTAAAGAATGAGGGATCGTTCCCCGGGGATCATCAGGGAATCATACAAATAGCTGAAAAATGCGGCTTGTGCTTCTTGCCCCCCCCCCCCCCTGTTCAATATGTTCATGGCGAAGGATAGTAGGAATAGTTAGAATAGGTAGACAACGTGAAATCCAGATATCTGGAGCTTCAGGATATAAAGCTTTCCTTTTGAGCTGCGATCCCCTCCCCAGCGAGGATGTTAATGCATGCGGCCCTCACAGTGCTCATTTCATGCCGTCACGGGGAGCTTACCCTTATGTTAACAAGAAGCCTATATGAAGTATAACACCATCCTACGCAGACACATTCCCACACGACCAAGATAGAAACGGACATGAACAAGGGAATATAAGATTTTTCAATAGCAACCTAAATCTCAAATTATTAATTCTTAGAAAGTCGCTTTGTGATGATTAGTTAGCATATCCGACTGCGGTAAGCGGCTGCATTTATACCAGAGAAACTGACATTTTTTCCTATGTCATGTATCACTGCTCTACCGCTACACATCAAGAATTCAATAAGAAATCAAATGAGGTACCCAAACATGAAAAGCGGGTAATGCTTAGGAGTCCAATACTAAAGGTCGTTCCGAAAACATTCTCCGAATTATTGATAATCTTCTTCAATTTTGCTGTGCCAAACAGGTTTGTTATGGTGGCAACTTTATTCGTATTGGCCTAACGTTTCGACGCTTTCGTCGTCCTCGGAGGCCTAAAAACGACCCAAAGCATCATCCACAACATCAGACCATCAAATGCCTCTCCTTGCTCAGCCAGTTTCGACTTTGTTCCAAACTAGCTCCGTAAAATGCTCCAGACAGAAATGAACCCACCGTTATGCCACCGCTATAGAATGAGTCCGCACCCGGAAGGACTTGACAGATACGACCGGAAATGAGTGACAGAAGCGGACGAGTGAGCATACTTTGGAAGGCAGATAGAAGGAGTCTATCTACTATCTACAGCTCACATAATGCGACAAACGGCAGAAAGTCGGTGGTAATAGACAAGCACTCGTTTTTGCTATTCATCTCTGGATTTCTGGCGGAAATCCAGAAAGCTTCCAGAGCCTTCCTAGCCGAGATCTCTTTCTCGCAAGTCAAGATCTTACATTTAATTTTAAAATCACTTCCATCATGCGCGTCGTTTTTATGTCTTCCTAGTTGTGTTACTAAGCTCTTGCGTTGGCATAATAAACACTCGATCATTGTTGACGGTTAGATAGCATTGGCCTGCACTTGCTATTTGATTTCTTTTGGTTCACTGGCAGGTTAGGCTTGTTTCTCGATCATGATGCGGTAGCTGACGGAATGTTCTCTAAGCACTCTACTTTTTCAGACCCCGAAGAAGGCGAAACTGCCGAAACGTTGGTCTTAATAAAAAGTTTTACCAGTCTTGGGTTAGCAGCTGAAAAAAGAAGATCAGTGTTACTACAATTCCATGCCGATCAACTTGCATTTCGGTTGTGATACTTTTCCAGCCCGAAATTTTTGAATGTGAAATGAAAATGAATGGAAATGTCGGCGGTTAAGTCGCGACGGTCAAATCGCGTGAAGTATGCCCGGGGCCTAAGGGGGTAGGGGTAAGAGGCGAAACAGGACTTTTTATCATAAAAAACTATACTAACTTGTCTATAACAAAACGCAATGGTATACGCCAAATTTAATGTACGCATTCGTACCGTGGGGTTCGAACTGTGGTTAAATAATTTAAAACTTATGTGAATGAAAGCTCTGCTGAACTTTTTTTCGAATTAACTGGAACCGTTCCAGCTAAAATGCAGCTGGGAATTGGAACCGACTCTTTACACACATAGTTTTTTGTACTTTTGCATATACTGTACCTTCACAGAGAGTTTTTATACGAGCATAAAACTCTGGGGTTTTAGTTCTCAACTGTCGACGCAGTTTGTCCTGATGGCAAAGCGCGCCCCTAAACAATATAGCTCAGCCTTGCTTATGCTTGCCTTTTTCTTTTATTCTTCAGCGTTCTTTCTATACATACCAGTTATGATTCCCAAGAATGGGGAAGGGGGCAGGGCCCAGCACAGATCAAATGGAAGCAGGCTGGAGTTCGTTATTAAAAAGCAAAAATTGTGTAAAGGCTGCTGCATGACGAAGACGCACTGGCGATATTAGCTGAGCGTGCGCGAACCCGACGCGCGCATACCCTCACCGTTGGCTAATAAAGCCGCGTTTGCGCCCGAAGATATTGCGCCTTCGTCATGCAGCAGTCTATACATGCATTACTAGCGAAACATGTGGAGGAAAACTGCACATACAACGACAATCCAACACACTTTCTGTAATGCCAAAAGCAACCACTCAGTCAAGCACAAGCTTCAAAGACAGGTTATTTACACGATTGACGTGCTCTCGTGTCTAAAGAAAAGTTTTCGGCGGTTGTTTTGTGACTCGAGTTTTCGGTGATTATTTTGTGACTGGTAAAACTTTTTATTAAGACCAACGTTTCGGCAGTTTCGCCTTCTTCGGGGTCTGAAAAAGTAGAGTGCTTAGAGAACATTCCGTCAGCTAACGCATCATGATCGAGAAACAAGCCTAACCTGCCAGTGAACCAAAAGAAATCAAATAGCAAGTGCAGGCCAATGCTATCTAACCGTCAACAATGATCGAGTGTTTATTATGCCAAAAATTGACCAACGCTTTCATTTACAGATCTAGTGATCCTGTCTCGGCCTACTGTTATCGCAGAAGCCACATAGCGTCTGATACGGGGCTGATGATTAAGCACTCATCTTTTCTATTCATTTTAGGACTTTCAGTCGCGACCCAAAACGCCTCTAAAGTTTTGCGTGTGAGGATCTCGGGTTCGTAAGCTAAGATTGTGACCTCCATGTTTATTTCTACATCATTGTGGCGCTGTCGGCGGTGCATGCCCAATGGCTTAGCAGGATTCGATCTTCTAAGCCCGTCTAACAAGGGAACGATACTTGGTGTCCGTGGCCTTTTGTGATGAGATGTATATCATTACATTCGTCTTGGAACGCTGATTCCAAATCTTACTTCCGTTTCTGCTGATCGCTTCAAAAATTTTATCATGGATCGCGCGAAGTTTGGCTGCCCAATGAAATACAGTCGGAGCGCCAATGTCGTAGGTGCGCTGTGGTCTAGTGGTTAGTGCGATAGTCTCATGAGTTGGCGCATGTGTAGGCTCGAGTCCTTTTGTGTTTTTCAGTCTTGCGTTGCCTCAATTAATCTTCTTTCGCATCCTCAAACTAAGTGAACGCCCTTACTCTTCAAAAAATGTGAAATTTTGGAAAAAATGACTACTATTCGCACTAAAATGTACCAAATGGTCATAATTCGCGTAAACTTTCTCGAACAATCTTAATTGAGGCAATGCAAAAGTAAATACACAAAGGATTTGAACCTACACTTGCATCAACTTATGAGGCTATCGCACTAACTATTAGACCAGGACATGGCCGCTGTAGAGGCCATTCCAATGACCATATTTCCCTTGAGCGGCCAAACTTGGATCGAAATTCCTCCATAACTTCTTTCAGAGAAACGATTAGCAGGAATGGAAGTCAGATTCGGAATCAGCGTTCGAAAACGATTGTAATGGTATACATATCGTCTCAAAAAGCCACGGACATTGAGTATCGTTTCCCAGTAAGTGTTCTTTAATACGTGTGCATAAAGGGCGTCCAGTTTCACCTATATATGACTAGCTGGCTTACCCGGCTCCGCCGTATGTTCCGAAAAGAAAATTCCATTTCTTAACCGATCCGGACCAAACTTGGCACACATACACTTCGGGCCCCGGCAGGTGTCATAGGCTACTTTCCGTCATCGATCGATATCGATTCTATCGATTTTTTGCAAAATTTGAGCTACGGGGTGATCAGCATGCTCGATTACACCCCTCTGCCAAATTCTAGCGCCGTAGCTCAAATTTTGCAAAAAATCGATAGAATCGATATCGATCGATGACGAAAAGTAGCCTATGACACCCGCCGGGGCCCGAAGTGTATGTGTGCCAAGTTTGGTCCCGATCGGTTGAGAAATGGAATTTTCTATTCGGAACATACGTACACACAACATACAGACATACAGACATACAGACAAACAGACATTCAGCTTTATATATAAGATTCTCTGCATGACTGACAGGTAATATGGTACACTACACCAGAAACCATACAGTCACCTTGCTTTTCGAATGGGCAAATAACGCAATTGGGAGTCGTACATAGTCTGTCATAAGCTCGATTGCGAACAAGTTGATGTTTGAGATTGACAGGTGGTATGTCAACGACTCGTACGCAGTCCCGTAATTCTGCTTGGTCTATCAGCTTTCTGGCTGTTATACTTAGTTCTTCTGACACAAATGGTAAGCAGAATGAAATTTTTGTTTCGGTTGCTGCAGTTCTGGTATTGTCAGTGCGCTTGCGTATTCGTTTTTATTTTATTTTTTATTTTTTTTATTCCATTTTTTGATGTAGTAACAGTTGTCTCGTCGCGATTCAATCGCGACGATCAAATCGCGTGAAGTCTGTCCGGGGCCTTAGGCGGGAAAGGGCCCTTTTGAACCGCTCGCTATCACGGCGCGCCTCTGATTGGTCAACATGTCCACTGCCATGACAAGGCTATGAGTAGGACGGAGCATCATTTTTGTACATCTTTCATGTCTAACATGATGCTAGGTTTTGGCACAGGTATATTGCAGGCTTCAAACTAACAATTCTCCTCGTTGACTGTGAATGCGACTTAATAGCTTTCCAGCGGCGCCGCACGCGGCGAAACGGGCATCGCGCGCGAAGGGTTCGAAAGAGCCTACCCCTTGGGCTTTATTTCGGAGTGGAGCATGTCGGTCGCGTGCCGCAAGCATGCCAGCGACATGCTTGTGCTCCTTTTCTGCGAACCCCGCATAGATGTTATCCCCTTTGCTTTTCTCAGAAACGATGTCCATCTTGACCCGGTTCCAGCTGTGCTGGCCCCTGCACATCCAGCTGTGCCGGGCCCTGCACCTAACCGTCGTGCTTTTTGCTCAAATTATGAGCATCGCATGAAAAAAGCACATGCGAGCTTAGCGCGCAAGCGCTGTTGCTATGCAGCTTGATTTTCTGCACTCCTCACCGCGCGAAGCCAAAACGTGGCTCATAGAAGAATGCTACCAAGGAGATTACAAATATGGCAAGCGCTGGAGCAATTTATTCTGCAATTTTTTTGTGATCCTACCATGGAAAAGACTGGTGCAGTGTGTCTTTACTATACCTTACTTAACATGAAGTTAGGTGTTCTAATATGAGGCTGATGTTCACGACCGAACATTCCAGCAATCAAAGTAACAGCAGCGCTCTTCAGCACGATATAGATGCACCTATGTACCCACGTAATCTACAAACTGACCGTATACGTGAGATTATAATAAACGATAGAAAGAACTATGAATAGAATGCTGAGAATGCAGTGTCGTGCAATTGCAGTGTTTAGTCTGAGAAGAGATGGACAAAAATGAAACAGCATCATAAGGACATCTTCTGCTAGAAGAACCTGAAATCATTTTTTCAAATAGATTAGTACCGCTAAACAAGCTCAAAGCTTCGCATGTGAGGTTCAAATATTTAGTTGACTACTTCGTGGAAGCTGAACGTCGTAACTTTGATGCTACCCTCATTGATGGGGTATAGTGACAACTGCCGTGTCTACTTTCTAGAGCAATATTCTTGCTTCAGATCAAATTTTTGCGAGACTTGAGCAACTACTTATTGTTAGTTAGGAATTTCACTATTGTGCTATCAATAGCTCAATCGGATTTGGGTGGACGATATCTTTAAGAAATGGTTGAGCAGATATGCACGGATACGATCTTATGTTTGAAAGCAGCAGGGCCCGAAGCAATCTCCCGTATTCTGAGCAGTAGCGTGGTGCTCGGGGTAAGGCACCTGCCTCGTCCGCGTCACCCTCGCACACTGATCCGACGTCCATCCCTTATCAACATCCTTGGCTTGAAATCGATGGAGGTCGTGAACAGGGACAAGCGTGGGGTGTGGGATGCCACACCTGGGGGTCGTATTGAGGGGAAGGGGTCATGATCGGCATGATATTGATGTTAGCGATAATATGATATTCGTTAACGATGTCAGATGAGCCCATTATGCAAAATAAAAACACGCTGATGTAATGACCTGTTATCGTATACGTACACAATAAAGAAGCCCTAAAAAGGATTAACTTTTCCGTGATTAGCAAACCATATTATCTTTGTGGAGCGTATTTTAGCAACTGTAAAGTTTTCGAATATTGGGCCACCCAAGTGAAGTGGCCATTTTCGGCCATTTTCAACTTTAGTCAGCTTAGCATTGTGTGGCACAACTCTCAAAGAGGTGTGGCAGCCACAGCTATTTTTGGGCTGTGCCGCACCCCACTAACTCACTTTCAAATTAACTTTTAACAAATAATTCCTACATAATTGATGGCTAATATCTGTTTTCGCAAAAGTGATTTGAGCGTGATTTTTTCTTTATGTAACTGAAAGCACAATCACTGAATGCGAAGAATGGGACAAGCGAGATTTTGGCTATTCCAGTTCTATAGTTTGGCGCTTGCTTGAGATAAGATTTTTCAGATAGGCAAAGAAAGTTTGGTATTTTGTTTTACGTGCAAAAATAACCAGGTGACTCACCTTTGAAACAAAGTAATTATGCTCGAAAGTGACCCACTTAAGTCGCCCAATATTTACCTCAAAATTCGATAATACTTGGTTTACGGGTGTGATTCGCCAAATTTATTTATTCATTTACATAATGCGCTCGTAGGCGCGCCGTGACAACAAAAGGAAATCCAGAATACAGAACAGAACATATTTAACAACGTATAGGAAATATTATAATCTCCGCTTTGACAAAACTGCAAAATGCCTTTTAAAAAATGGTCAGGTCTTTCTTCTTGCAGGAGGAGAGCCTTCGACCGAGATCCTGTCTCGAACGTCTTTGATGCAGTTATAATATTACAAAAACCAGGGCTCGGACGACCAACTTAACTCAACGAGTTCGCCAGGTACACTGAGCGAACGGACAAGGGGGGAACTCAAGATAAAAGGATCGCCGAACCTCGTTCTCCTCGAATGGCTATTCCCGCTAAAGAAGCAGTAAAAAGCTTCTTGCGAAGATTCACAGCTACAGTAAATCAAAACAGCACGTAAGAAGGACGAAAAGAGTGACAAATACAAATAGCATAGTGACCATCATTGTACAGGCTGACATCGAGAATGTACCATCCTAGGAGAAACCAGCGTTGTCGAGTGGCCTTACTGAAGAAAATTCGACATCAGAGCCCTCATTCCGTCTTTTCAACTCATTATTCTATTGCTGTGCACGCTGGCCCAATCGACTACCTCCCAAACTACTAAATTCTAAAAATAGGTAAGCTTCATAAAAGTTTGCTAAAGATTGATCTCCCTAGTATTTTGCATTGTGGGTCGTACCTCTATTGATACTTTTTTCTTTCAAGTCTGATTTAGGTTCTGTTTAATAGTGCAGGTTACCAGTTGGATTCTGCAAGTCCTTACTCTTAAATACTTTTTTCCACTAGTTCTCATTTCTCGAATCTCATCTCAAATGTGTTTTCATTCTTTTCAGTTTTTCTTGTGCCGTTTAATACTTCCATTTACGGCCTGGTTAATTTATGTCGATCTTTTTACGTCAGCTGCTGATTGTGCATTCAGTGCAACTCGCTTCCCAGTCGCTCCATGCTCTTTCTGGTGAGCCGTGTGTATTTCCGACCTCAGTCAGCGCAAGTGTTCAGCATATCTACTTCTTTCTTTGCCTTGCTAGATCTGTTTTTCTACTAACTCGACTAAGTCATGTAGTCTTGGGCCCAACTTGGCTGGCAACTTACGACCATTCATATAGCTATTCCGACTACGCTTGATCAACCTGCATTTTTTATAATCCTTGGAGCTCAGGACCCTCCCCAGCAAACTGTGTTGGGCGAAGTTTGCCAGTATACCCGCCCCCGAACTCCCGGTTTGCTTCCATGAATAATATAAAGATCGTTCCTTGCTGGCAAGCGAGAAGGCATGGATACTTCTTTATAGAGACTATGCTAGCACAAGATTGTATGCAACCCAGATACAAGTTATGCGAGCTTACTACATTTTTACTACATTATTTGTTCCTTAATAAGTCGTCTGAACTAGGCTTAGGACGACGTGGTAATTTGTTTTTGTTACTGTTGTGTTCCATGTATGGCTAACACTTCATTGTTCTTGATTTGGAATGCCTCGAGCGTATGAATAAAATGAAATCTGCGATTTTTAGAGCTACTAAGTCTTGTCCAGAGTTAAGTTTTTCAAATATTGCAGAGTTGCTGCTTGAAGGTGATCTCAAGGTAAGAGGTTTAGCCAATTAGTCAGTACGAAAAATGAAAGAATTATTAGGTTGTGTAATAAGTTCGTTCGCATTTTTTGTTTCAATTTTTTCTTAGTATTTTACAAGACATTTGGCATAGTGTTAGTATGCATTCGGAAGCTCTAAGTCTACCCTACCAAAATACTATCATTATATTCCCAGTTTGTAAAAAGTTGAATAAAAAAGTCGACTACAATCCGAAAAATCTGAATTGGCAAAAATCCCATTTTCGACAACTATGTTATGCCGCACCTTGAATGGGTTTGAGCGCTTAAGAAACAGCCCAAAAATTTTGCGACATGTATAAATAGAATACTATAGCTCCCGCAGATTAACTGTAGTGCTAAAACCTTTCAAAAACCTTTCATATTGTAAGCTCAAATATAGGTATGTTTTTACGTCTTTTTGGTGTTAACGTTAAGCATCTGAAGGCACCTCTGAAGAAAGGTGGTAGCCGAATAATCCAGAAATTGGCAGACATGTGGTCTATGATCGCTAAATCATCGAATGAATGGCTTATATAGTCAAAAATTCAGAATTCGAGGGACACATAGCCCACGGACGCGAAACAACGAACACCGCTGCGGCAAAGCCTTGCTAGGCCGGGTTTTGCAAAAATTGCATTAAACGGTCGGTGAAAGGAAATGGGCAATCGTAAATAGTATCAGTAAATGCATAAATTGTTAGTCAATTGTTTTTCTTCGTAGTCAAGCCTTTTGAATAAATTTCAACAAAGAATAGCGGGAAAACTAAGGAAGAAAAAAGATGTCGAAAATGGGATTTTTGCCACTTCAGATTTTTCGGTTTGTAGTGGAATGTTTTATCCAAATTTTCAAAAACTGAGAATATAATGATAGTATTTTGGTAGAGCAAACTTAGAGCTTCCGAACGCATACTAACACTATGCCAAATGCTTTGTAAAATATTGAGAAAAAATCGAAACAAAAAATGCGAACGAACTTATTACACAACCTAATAAAAGACTTGGAAAAAATTTTGCTTTTCAATTTTCATAGCAGATGTGGAACCCGCCTGTCTGATTATCACACGGCCTGAAAATCCAGTACTTACTAGGCTTTTGCCTTGTCTCCAGTCGAAATAGAAGAAAGCAGAAGACAAGGTCATCAAAAATTCGCCTGTATATAAGACTGGGCAAATCCAGAGCCTAAATCGGTTGGTAAGAACTGTGGTTGATTTGGGTTGAGGAAGCACCTGTAAAACACTACTTTGGTTAAGGTTTTTGCACTCTTTCAAGTGCATAGATCCCCTTGTTCAAAAATGGGTTCCGAATTGGCGAGGCATATTCTAAGTGCGGTGAAACATATGTTTTTAGAGTCTGACTAAAATTATGGGACCGTTGCGATGTATAACACGCAGAATAACAAAAAGATTTGTGGAAGCCTTCTGCATTAGTATTAATGATGAGAGAATTTCATCTGATCAAAACTCCAAAATCCTTGGCATTGCTGCAGCGTTCAAGAACAACTCCATCACAAGAGTAAGAAGGGATAGCAGTATTACCCAAGTGGCATTTTGAACTCAGAGCGATTACAAGAATATCCCGTTTTCAGATCAACAAATCATTTCTGTGTGGCTGGAGAAATCGCCTCAACATTTTACTTTACTCGTGGTCGTGATAACTTCTGATATCGTCTGAGAAAATGTGAATTTTGATGCCAGGATGAGTCTTCAGATATGCAGGTGATTCTGCGGTGTCAGCTAAAAACAGAAGAGGTGACAAAATGCCACCTTAGAACACTCCACTATTGCAGTAGTACCGCTTCGAAAAGCTACTACCAAAGCGAACTGTCATACCCTTATCCTGCAGGTAGGATGACAGCCAAAACAGCTACAGATACGAAATTGTTCAAACCTGAAAAGGAGCTTGTGATGGTCAACCTTGCCAAATGGCACGCCATAGATGGAAAGATGATATCAAACGATATGCCATTATTTAGTGAAACAATCAGTCATAAACCGAGTCACGGAGCAAAGCTTTCGTAGATCCACCACGTAAAAAGCCTTTCTGCTCAAGTGGAATCACTTTGTTCTCTCCAAACCATTCGAAGATTTATCTTTGACAATTTTTCAAGGATATGCCTGCAGGCTCTGTGATACTAATGGAGCAAAAATTGGAAATATTCGAGACTCGGTCATAGTCGGGTATGGCTGAAATAAGAGGCTTCCTTGCACACCATAGGGTGCCTTCACACCGCGCCGGCAGCCGCCGCTGGCCGCTTTCGTTATATAAGCAAAATTATCAGAATCTTACTACTTTGAGTGCTCCTGTCTACCCTCTTCATCTTCTACGCTTTTCTTTTGTTGCCGCAGTCAGCACGTAGTTTGACCACATATCATATATGTACCTATTGTTGTCATTACCTTCTCGCCGTATGGTCATCCTGTTGAACCATAGTTGATAGAAGGTTCTTTTCGGTGTAATTCGCTCTGACTTCAAATGCATCCGGTTCCAGCAGGTGTGCAATTTTTTTTGAGTATGCTTTTGCTTCAATTTTTTCTTGGCTATCGGTGCATATGTAACTTGCATTCTACTATTTCGCAAGTTCGCCGGGATTCATTTGCGGGTTGAGATTTTCTTGCTTTGAATCGCTCACATCTTTTCAAATAAGACAGACGGCAAAAGAATGCGATAGGATACAATGTGCGGAACAAAACAATGAACACAAATGAATTGTGGGGAGTTGAACTGCATATTAGCGATAATAAGAAGAAATAAGCGTAGAAGATAAAAAGCGTAGGCAGGAGCACTTAAAGTAGTAAGATTTTGACGATTTTGCTCCTATAACAAAGGCGGCCAGCGGCGGCTATGGGCTGCCACGGGCTGCTGGCGGCTGCTGCCGGCTGCTGGCGGCTGCTGCCGGCTGCTGGCGGCTGCTGACGGCTGCTACGGGTGCTAGCGGCGGCTGCCGGCGCGGTATGAAGGCACCCATAGGCACTTTGGCCTACTGTAAGTAGGGCTCAAAATCAGAGGCAGGAGAAGCAGAGAGCACCAGAGCGCACTTACGATACACTATTCCGCCTCCTATGGAGGGATTCCGCCATAGGAGGCGCTAGATATCGTTCGCTAATTTAATTTACGGATATGTTATTCAGTTCTTGGTAGGACCTCATCCTATGCTTACGGTAGAAAAGATAACGCTGGAGGTCTACTGAGACACTCAGGGGGTGGGAGCAATCGGATCACTCGCAGAGAGTTTGAAGCTTACCGCGCAAACTTGTATTTCATATATCTGTAGATTATACAGTTTTTGTTACAACTTTTGTTTTTTACCCGTACAATGACTGTGCACCAATAGTTCTCCATTCAAATGAGTAAGAACTGTAGCCGTATTCATCATTCTTACCTTGAGGTAAATCTTACCTCCAAGCAGGATTATCACACAAAACCCGTATTCATCAATGTACCTTGAGATAAATGCTCAAGGTTAAATCAACCTTGAAAATGATTTCATGTGGAATGGATCATACCTTAAGGTGAATTCGACCTCAAGGTAGCCTTATCAGCGATAAATCGTATTCATCAAACTTGATGCCTTTACCTTGAGGTACATTCACAATAGAAACTTTTACCCTAGCTAAAGGCAAGGTTAGGAGTGAAACCTTCAGAAATTAACAAGGTTTTAGAGTCTGATTTTTCACATGAACACTGCAGTGACAAAACTGAACCCATGGCAACAATCTTATCTAATTTCGCTGAGATTGGCTAGAGTTATAAGCATGTAAAGAAATCGGTACTATACTTCTCTCTAATCCTATGATATGTTGTGAGTGTTTTGAACTTCTGTGAAACTGATGTACCGAAAAATAGGAGTCAAACACATCCGCTCCAACAGCATTTTGAGCATCATAGATCCTATCAAACAGTATTTTGAGCATAGCACACTGAAACCACAAGCTTAAAATTGTATGACCCAAAAACAATCGCTTAGCAAGCTCTGTATTCAAGAAAAGGCAGTGTTAACGTTCGTGTAACGCAACTCTTTAGCCTTGCTTAGTTGCCCAACTCAAATCCAAGTAAAGTTATATCACTCAGGAACATGTGGGCCAGCACTTCAACAGATAATAAGGTTCGACTCTAAAAATTCGAAAAAGAGAGAAAGTTTACTAGCTTGGCAAAAAATTCTAACATTTTGCTCTTTATTACTTTGTTCATCCATCCAACTTTGACTCACACATTGCTTCTGATGTATAAGTTTGTAATGTAAGCATCGGACTTCACAAAGCGTTTCATCACAAACATTTCAAAATTTTAAATGTTTTGACATAATCATATTTCCGTGATTTGGACGCGTATCCTCCTTACACTCAGAAGGGCTTGAAAAAGAAACTATTATCGTCTAAGAATTGTTTCTTGCAGCAGTCGATTGGCTGTCGCTGCTGCAGACTTCAGTCTGCAGCGGTATAAAATATGCATAATGCAGTATGAAACAGCTCTAAGCTCATCGATAAACTAGGCAAATCCTAATAATGACTGTTTACGAAATCAGTTCTATAAAGCATATCAAAAATGTGGAGTATATTCGATGCCGAACAAGCACAACATTCTTCAGTCAGGTAGACATCGCAGCAGAGAAATTTTTTCCAATTCAAGTAAACTGTGCTTAAAAGCAGATGTTGAATATGTAGACCCTATCCACTCCAATTCACCAACTGTAGCCTTTCATACTCTATAGACATAAGTATCCTCGCGAAAATGCTATGCGATATGAAAAAAAGCAATTCACCGCAAGTACGCCATGCCCTTCTCTGAGAAAACGTCAGTATATATCATGCTGGCACAGGTTATTTTAAACTGAGAGATAAATTTTGATGAATACGAAATTATACCCCGAGGTAAATTGTACCTTGAGGTAGCATCTCAAGGTAGCTTAAATTGCAATAAGGTTCATTCTAATCTAACCATTGCAGCCGAAGCAGCTAGAAAAGTACTCCGACCCTGCATGAGCGGCGGATTTTCAGTAAATGAAGAACTTTGGGGCAGCCGTAATGCCACCTACCCGCACGCCCTTTGATGCAGTAAGACTAGAATACACTAAGCGAGGAGAGATCATCAATTCAATTCGGCCGGATACCCTAAGTTTACTACAAACGCCTATTCCTCGGCTAGCTAGCCCCTAAGCAAACACACAAACAGCAGAAAACAACACAACATTCGAATCTAAGCTTAACAAATTTGTAAAGCAAAAGCTTTTTTAGCTCAAGAAAAAAATTAGGCACCGAACTACGCAGAACATTGCAATCGCATAGCGATGGAGGACTATATTCGCCGAATGTGGAGCGGACGGGCATTATGTCGATCTCGGCCTGATCCATGCTGTAGTATTTACGGTCTGCAATTCGGAAAATTTCCTCACAGGACCGCTTTGGGATAAGTTCAAAAACGAGATTGATGTGCCTTTCAAGAGTGTCAGGCTGTGATTACCTAGTGGTTCTCTTTATCATTCTCATCTGCTCCTCCAGCAGCGCAACATGCGCAAAGCGAGCATAGCTTGCGAACGGTCCTAAAGTGTAGATACCCACAAAACGAAAGTAGAAAAGAGAGATAATGAGGAAGTTTACACACCGCTGAGAAATATGACATGCCGTGAATGACCGTCACTGTAAATCTTGCAAGCTGAGGTAGAATTAATTTTGAGGTGTTTTGATGAACACGAAACAGCACTAAGGTGGATTATACCTTGAGGTATAAACTACCTCAAGGTACATTTTATCTCAGGTAGCAATGATGAATACGGCCTCTCGTCGGCAACTGAACTGGTTGAGTAGTAAAATGGAAAACTAAATACTCGAAAGAAAACAGTTTCTTCACAATTTTCTGAATAAATCTTAACATAACACTAATCTACATTTGCACGGTATAACTTCTCCAAAGACTACTTGGTCACTTATATTTATTTCCTTTGATACTTTGCAAAAAAAGTTGCTTCACTTATAACTATCCTGAGCAACTACACATGCTGCGTTTTGTCAAGAGTCATCTGGTGCTAAACGAAAGCATAATTGTGCTTACACAGCGAGAATCTGAAGTTACTGTGTTCGTAATTTAAGTTCTAGGGAGATCAGTGTACAGTCGTGTCCAGCACTTTGTTTTGCCAAAACCTACGTCTACGCTTTCTTTATGTTGCAATCTGGATACTAAACTATGAGTCAAGGTGTGCTTGACAAAGGATAAGCTTTACAATGAAAGCCTATTTTTTCAAAGTGAGTACCTCTTTTGAAAGGTTGTGGCGTAAAATGTTTATTACAAACTAGCTGGCTTACCCGGCTCCGCCGTATGTTCCGAATAGAAAATTCCATTTCTGAACCGATCGGGACCAATCTTGGCACACATACACTTCGGGCCCCGGCGGGTGTCATAGGCTACTTTTCGTCATCGATCGATATCGATTTTATCGATTTTTTTGCAAAATTTGTGCTACGGGGCTGGGAGTTGGCACAGGGGGGTAATCGAGCATGCTGATCACCCCCGTGGGGGTGATCAGCATGCTCGATTACACCCCTCTGACAAATTCCAGCCCCCTAGCTCAAATTTTGCAAAAAAATCGATAAAATCGATAAAAGTAATGCACGGTTTCGAAAACTAATATTGTATTCGTAATCAGCATGCTCGATTATCCCCCTGTGCCAAATCCCAGCCTCCTAGCTCAAATTTTGCAAAAAATTGATAAAATCGACATCGATCGATAACGAAAAGTGGACTGTGACACCCGCCGGGGCCCGAAGTGTATGTGTGCCAAGTTTGGTCCGGATCGGTTAAGAAATGGAATTTTCTATTCGGAACATACGGCGGAGCCGGGTAAGCCAGCTAGTAACTGATAAGAATTTATTTTTCTTCGTAATCGATACGATAGTAAACGTGGGGATTTCACCGTAAAAGTAGCGTACGGGGTGGACCGGTTTCGGAAACATATGTGTGCAAGTTTGACACTCATCGGTCCATTCAATTTTCCACGGTGAACAGCTAATTTAGACAATCAACAACGAATTTGTATAATTATAGATTTTATGATCCCCACCAGCCTTTCCCCACCCCCACTGCTCTTGAATTACTCTACGCTTCTGAATGCTATTTAAAAGTAGAAATATTTGCATTCCAACCGCTACTGAGACTTACATGTTCTGCAGTGGATAGCAATGTGAGAGCTATAACAAGAACGGCTGAAGCTGCCTTTGTGTATGCACTCGATGAAGCAAAGTAATATAGAGGCGTAGCAAAATCTTGATTCTCTATGTACTTTTCGAACATATTTCCTAAAATAAAATATCAGGTTCTGAATCGCAAATTTTATTCATTTTGTCCTTATTCTTGGCGTGACTTTGGTAAGGAGTGTTTGGTCTGACGTATGGTAGGCCCCACATATGCTTGTGAAGGCTCCTACCTTTAGCCTGATTTACCGAATAGCCTGCATACAGCCGATTAAGGCGGAAAAAAAGCCACTTTAAACAATTTCACTTTTTTGTTTTCGATGGGTGTATGATTAGGATTTTTTTAAATATGGGAAAAAAGTCACAAATCATAAAGTAACTAAATCGGTTAGTTTCGACAAGCAAAACTTTTTCGCTGCCGATTTCTCAATCTCTTGTTATTTAGAGCTCAAGCTTCAAAGCCTAGAAAATTCATAGTCGATGTAATCAATGGGACAACTAATTTTTTCAGCAGCTCATTTTTCCAATGCTGACAGCATTGCACAAACACTCCATATAACTTTCATATCTCCAAAAACGGGTTTCTAGGCTCTGGCACCACTCTGGCAGTTCTTGAACGATAGCATCCTTCACATACAATGCAGATTTTTCGAGCTGTTAGCAGTACTGTGAGAGTTCTAGCGCAAAATGTTGTCAAAATGGTCTATTTTGCCCGAGTAACTACTTCTTACGATACAAAGCATTGAAAATCAAACAAAAGCAAGCAGGGCGGCATATGCTGTTTCTGCATCCTTCAGATTTCTGTTATTCAGAGTGGTGAAGCACGCCAAGCCACGCCTATGGTCTATGAACATGATTTGTCTCTTATATGTACAGACATACGTATAGCCCTGTTCGGTGCGTCTATTCTTCGACCCTGTCTATACTTAAACTCTAGTCCGATGCAAGACGTGATTCCGAAAAGAATACTGCAGATTATCACAAAAATTACATTGAAAATGCACGAGTGTACGATGTTCCTGGAAAATGTTATTTTACAACTATAAAAACTATGCAAATGCAGCATTATTCACTCACTGAATGCAGCGCAAAAGTAGTTTTTCAAACGTTACAGGAATGACTTTACATTCACTTATGCCATACCTTCTAATTTTATCTGTTATAAAACATGGTATCCATTTTTGTTAGAATCAAAAATGTACTACTATGTATTAACGATGTATCAAGGATGGCCTCCACAATGGTCGTTTGCCTCGAAATGGCATCGGGGTGACATTGGGTGTCGAACCGGAATGTACAGCCCAATGTATGCTCTGATAGGGTCTTCCAAGCTGTGAGAGAGTTCGAAACTTCCGGTTTCGGCCGGATCTAGTTGTCTACTTTTTTGATCGTCAGCAATCCTGGTCCATACCCGAGGTTAGCGGTCCCGTAGAAATCAAGAGCAAGGCCTGGTAAGTCCGCTCTTATAAGGGAAAAATTTCACAACTCGTTCAACAGAAAGAAGAGAAAGAAACCCTGCTCGTTGAAACCGCCTACGGCGCTATGTGATAACAAGGACAATGTCAGAGTCCAGAGGGCGGTATATATCGGAAAAAATTATAAGTCTAGGATCACGCCACGGGGTGCCTTAGGCTTTGCACTTTCAACGCCAGATGATCCATCCAAACGCCGACATTCACGCTCTTCTCGACGCTGAGAAATCAAGTACCACATCATCGTTCTGCAGGGAAGGAATTCTACGAAGAACGACTTGCGACAGATGAGTGATGGGACCCTCATCATTCGAGGTGAGAAAGTTCCGTCACAAATTTTGGAGGCGTTGCTTGTCGTCCACTCATCATGGGCTGTCCCTCGACTGGTCAACTTATGTTATACCCACATCAGAAGAGCATCAGCATTATCTACTGCTACTCACCAACATCAGCAGCTGAGGATTCAGAATTGAATACTTTTTACAAAGATTTAGAGAAGGTCGTCCGCAACGAGAGATCTGTTTAAAAGTTTGAGCGACTTCAAAGCGAAGATCGAAATGCCATTAGAAGAATAAAGGATTGGGAAGTTTGAGCATCATCTATGGAACAAAAATGGCAACCGCTTGGTTGGGCTCCTTTATGCCTTACGATTTTCCCATGAAAACTCTATCTTCGTGAAGAAAGAGCAACGTCGGTGGACTTGAGGATCGCCAGCGCTAGATACATGCGGAGATCTACCACATCTTCACCAACCGAAGGCGGGATTTGTTTGTTGTCTCAGTACTTCCACATGCTGTAGTGTTCCCGACCACCGCTTCCTTCGAGCGAAAATGCGACTCGAAAAATGGAAAAAGGTCTGCTACAGCTCGCAAGAAAGTGGAGCACTGAAGGTCATATGAAACTGTGACTGGCCTATCGAGGAAGACCCAATAAGCGACCACGACAGGCTTCTGAAAGGATTGTGAACCCATGGAGAGTGAGCCTTTGGACATTAGAGAGAACACAGAATGCATCTAAAAAAATACTAAAGTGTTGCTTGAGAGGATAAGACTTTTTGAGGCAGAATACGAATGCAGAACTTCTTGAGCGATTGGTGGCTAATGTCAGGTGTCAGAACAGCTTTGCATTAGGATATCCGGAAACATAGGTGAGCTGAAAATTGGAAGCAGTCGAATGAAAACGAAGAGTTTAAGAAGTGCCGAAGACTTCTGTGAACAGTAAGCACCGACAGATTACAATGATCAGCTGCGAATAACTCTTCAAAAAGGCTAAAACAGCAGAAAACCTGATTCGTAGAGAAGCATCGCATCAAGGAATTTGAGATTATCCTCTGTACAAAATTCTGCTTTCCTCTTCTGTCGATGTTGGCGATTGAAATTGTAGATCTTGTCATTGTTGGTGTTCGGAGGCAATTACATAGAACCATTACAAATTCAGAAACAACTCGGACGAGCGGCGGACCTTCACGACTTGATAATGGGCGGTGAGCCTTAAGTTGTGGGCGTGCTTTTTTGCGAAGAGCGACGTGGCTTCTCTACTCAGTTTGTGGGCGGGGACCATGCACCGAGCAGCGTCGAGAAATTCAAGTGGACGATGTACCATCAATGTACTCCTTATCTTCCAACATTCTAAAATCTTCTCGTTGGTATGTTATTCACTTTGTCAATGCTGTTTCCATGAATTGGTGGTCTTCCTGTTGATAAATTGATTATGTTGATAAATGTATGTTGTTATATGTTGATTCGCAATGAAGCACATAAAAGCAAATCTCTGCATTCTTTGCTAAAATGGGAAATGAAGATGGTTTTATATACAGAGAAGTGACTTCTAAAACATCGGATACGAAGATGTGAGTTGTAACTTGCAATCTTAACTTAAATCATGCCTACATTCAGTCATGTTGAACAGCGAGCCCATCAGGATATTTCAGATATATTTTTTACATGGTAAGACTTCTATAAAGAGACATCAACTGCAATCCAAGCTAAATGCACGGTACTCTCTGCATGGTCAGCTTATCGTGGAAGGAGTTTGGTTTATATTGATCAATTTTTAGGGGAGGGGAGGGGTGTCATTTCGCTTTGCGTAGTTGATGTTTTACCAAAGGTGAAAGCGAACTGACATCAACTATGCACGAATAATACTTATCTTTTTCCTTACATAGTGACTGATATATCCTATCGTATTCTTACAGGTCTTCTCGTCTTATATGTGTGGCTGTGTTGTTGCTTATGTGTTTTTTGAAGGATTGACCCATCAGAAGTGTGCCAAGTTGGAATGTGTGTTTTAGCAAAGCAAATGCATTATCAAAGCAGTAGCAGCAGGCTGTAGATCCGTATAGTGCTGTGAAGAGCTAGCGGGGCATAGCCCAGCAGACGCGAGAGGCATGATTGAGGCAGACATGTTACCCGCTGGAGATACTCGCTCCCGCTTTATTATCTAGGCAGTGTGCCTTCAAAAGGACGGCGAGATGCATGATCGCTCGCCCGCTAAAGGCACTGCGCTCATCCGAATTATAGTCTGAGTAGGAAAAAAACGGATATGACATCTATAATAGTATCAAGAAACTTACATAACAATATCGTTGCTGAAAGAACTAAACGATCCCAAAGAATGAAGAGAGCCATCCGCGGTGCTCAGAAGTAAAAAGGACTGAAACGTGAGAAAGGTAAAATGGGCTCATGCTTTGAAATGCGTGAGAGGGAAATGGCTACCACATAAATAGCTTCTAGCCACGTATCAAATGAAAGCAATTTAGACATGTCATTATTCAACATCTGAAATGTGCCTGCTTCTAGCAAAGCAATGTATTGCAAATCTTTGTGTAACTCACGAAGAAAAACTTGTCAATGATTAGTCCGTAGCCGGACAAAAAGAAGGATGCGAACCCCACAAAAAGAGCAAAGATTGAACAAATTACTACGAACGAAGAAATCTGAAAAATGAGGAAGAGTGTTAAAATTGGACAATGCCTAGCGATTACGATCCAATTAACATACTGACCAATTTTGAACAATTTTCAAACTGCCAACCCTACCACACTTTCTCGCCAACCCATACCTTATCTTATACAGGGTGTCCCAAAAAGATGTGCACACTGTTTGATTGTTAATAACTCTCTTGCTTTCATGTCTTTTGCCAAGCTTGAGGTACCAATCTTTAGAGCAAGGTTCAACTTGATTTACAGTATGGAGCGACTTATCAGTAGCTCTTCATTACTGTAGGATTACGGTAGGAATTTCGAGGAGGATTTTAAGCCTTTGAAAGCGGTATTTTGCCTTAGAAAGAAAGCCAAACAAGCCAGAAACTCTTGAAGTGGGTTAATCGAAGTTGCTAATTCTGAATATGAAAATTGCACTTCAGTACACTGTTTCTTTCATGAGTTATCTCAGATTTAGGGTAACAACTGATTTTCCGATGTTCAGCAGAAATGTGAATACGCCATCAAGAAAGCTCGAAAACCTGATGGAAAGTTATGTAGTAAAATCAGACGCCTGAAAATCTTGCTACACAATTTTTTAGATTTTTTTGAGATTATTTCATCAAAAAGCTTATTTCACAGTGATGCTGTATGCTGAAAGTTCATACCGTAATCCTACAGTAGCAAAAAAAAGATTGGAGTTTTATTTAATACTGTAAATCTAAGTTTATCCTCGCTCTGCAGAACAGTACCTCAAGCTCGGCAAAAGACATAAAAGCAAGAGAGTTATTAACGATCAAACAGTGTGCACATCTTTTTGGGACACTCTGTATATAAAGCTGAATGTCTGTTTGTCTGTCTGTATGTCTGTCTGTATGTCTGTCTGTATGTCTGTATGTCTGTCTGTACGTATGTTCCAAATAGAAAATTCCATTTTTGAACCGATCCGGACCAAACTTTGCACACATACATTTCGGGACCGGGCGGGTGTCATAGTCCACTTTTCGTCAATGATATCGATTCTATCGATTTTTATCGATTCTTTTGCAGAGCTCACCTACGGGGCTGGGAGTTGGCACAGGGGGGAGGGTAAGCGAGCATGGCGATTCCGAATACAATATTAGTTTTCAGAATTATCCATTCCTTTTGTCGATTTTGTCGATTTATATGCAAAGTTCGAGATAGGGTCTGGGATTTGGCACAAGGGGGGGGGGGGGTAAGTGGGCATGCTGATTTCGAAAACAACGCAGAGAACGAGAAATGAAGTGTAAAAGTGGGCACAAGGAAAGGCTGTACAGGGATAGGGATGGGATCTTTATTACAGTGTTTTGACAGGGCCGGGCGGAGTCGGTTAAGCCAGCTAGTTCCCTATAAAATCTTGCATATCATCCAAACTCATTTGCCATGGAACTGGCGAGCTGGTAGCGGATCTGACCTATTTGTCTCATCAGTGCCAAAGTCATCAAAGTTCAATAAAAGTGGGGATAGGAGATGAAAAAACGTAGTTTCTTCTGCTACAGTCGATCTCCGCTTTACTGCCTATTATCCATGATGACAGACAAAAAGTTTTTTGCTGTTATTGAGTTTGTGTTCTGTCTGCTGTTATGAAATTTGTAAGAGCTCAGCCAAGCTCTTGAGCCCAAATTTGGCATAACATTTGCGTCCAGCTCAGATAATTGCCGGATGCAGGCTGCCATGCGATTTATGGGCAGGCGGGCACCGGAAGAATAGTTCGATGATCTCGCGAACTTTTAGAAGAATGCTCGGAGAACAATTGCGGCTTTCTCATAGTTCTGTTGCGGCGCAGTGGCCGCATTCTCGCGGACCATCCGCGAAAATATGCAATATTGGGGCCGCATGGTCCTTGTGAGAATCGCACAGCCCATAAGTATCTTCCGCTGAGAGAAAGTATCCCAAATTCGGATAATTGAACCATCGATGGCACCTCTGTTTTATGAAGAGTGATCCTTTGCTCAGTGTATGCCCAAAACTGCGTAAAAAGAGTCCGAGCGGTCGCTGAAAGTTTGGCCCACGCTCGCTGAAGAAGGTTGTGTGACGAGCGCTTGCAGAAATTTTTGTATTGCTGCCCGCTGGCAGAACACGGAAGTACCACTCGCTGAAGGTTTGGCCAGGCCCCAAAATTTTGCTGACCGCTTGCAGAAAGTTTTTCTAATAGAAACAAAGCAAACTCGCGGCAAATTTACAAAAGCAAGTTTTTGCCTCAGAACGAGGAATGGCAGCTGTTTGAGATGAGATATAATGCTGGTGAAGTCAGCAAGGGATGTCAATCTCAAAACTGCACTTCTTTTCTGCGAAACGCTTTTTTGAAGAACGCTGTGGTGTTCGGAGCAAAAATGCAAAAGCGCTGCTTGCAAAGCGATTTGAACAGGTGACCCTCTTTGCACGACCGCGTTTCGAGGAGTACGATTCCCTCATGATACACTATTACAGCGCTTCTATACCACTCAGACAATCGCCGGGGGCAAGCGGTCCGCAAACTCGCGTTTTTCTGCAGGCGGTGAGCAGAATTTTGGGGCGTGGCCAAACCTTCAGCGGGCGGCACTTCCTTTACTGTCTAATGTTCTGCCAGCGGGCAGCAACAAAGAATTTTCTGCAGGGGCTCGTCAAATAATCTCTTTCAGCGAGCGCTGGTCAAATTTTCAGTTGGCGCTCGGAAGGTTTTTAAGCAGTTTCGGGCGTACGCCGAGCAAAGGTGAGACTCTACATGGCAGAGGTGTCATCGATGGTTTAATTACTCAAGTTTGAGGTACTTTCTCTCAACGGAAAGTACCTGGGGACTGCGCGGTCCTCCACAAAGGACCGTGCGGCCCTCGAAAATCTTGCATACTGCGGAAAGTCCGCGATGCGGCTGCGCCGCAGCTAATCTGTAAGGAAACCGCGATTGTTCTCCAAGCATTCATCTAAAATTTCGCTAAAATTCTTCCAAATATCTGCAAAAGGACCGCAAGAAATCAGCGAACTATTTTTCCGGTGTCCGCTTCCCCAAAAATCGCGGCCGCCTGCCCCCGGCGATTATCTGAGCAAGTGATCAGTGGACATGATCATGAAACTTGCGAATTTTCAAAAAAAGGCAGCTCACAAATTGCAATTTTGAGTTCAGTTAATCACTGAGTACAGCAATATACAGGGTGTCCTAAAAGTAAGTACACACTTTTCAATCGTTAGTAGCTCTCTTCCCATTGTGTCTTTTCCCGCCATCTAAGTACAATTCTGTAGAGAAGGCCTTAACTTAGACATACAGTATCGAGCAAATCACCGATCGCTATTCGCTACTGTAGGATTACGGTAAGAACTTCCAGCATGTGAAACCACTGTGAAATATGCCATCTGACAGAAAATTTTTCCAAAAAATCTGAAAAATCGTGTACTAAGGTTTTTGCGCGCGCTGATTCTACCACACAACTTTTTACGAGTGTTTTCAGCTTTTTTTACGGTGTAATCACATTTCTGACAAATACTGGGAATTTGGTTATTACGGTTTACCTGGGATAACTTTAAAAGAACCATCACAGTAAACTGGAAATTTCATAATCGAAATCGGCGGCTTCATAATTTAACACGTTTCGGACCGAGAAATCGCGCGCGGCGAAAAAGAGGGTACTTTCAGCCGTTAGCCAACAAAGGGACCTTAATTCGTATACTGTGTGCTACATCTGTAATCAGCATGCCAGATAAGGTTCATACCCAAAGTTCTGAGTGAATTCGAAGTGTTTGAATTTTGTCGCCTGAGAAGGACTTCTGTGCTTTCACAAAAGATAGGAACAAGAACTCAGTTTCTAATTGTGTCCAAAAGTATATATGTTGTACACGATACACATTAGTATTGGAACTACTGTTTTCTCTCTGATACTGAAGCAAAGAAAAGTTACGACGTCGCACGCGTCGTTCGCGTTGCCGCACTTCGTTGCGACTGTTCTTCGTTTTGTGCTTATATCTTCTAAACAAATATTGGCGACACAACTGAGTCATTTGAAAAGTAAAAGCTTAGGCCTTTGGATTGATAACCTTGAACAAAAAGAAAACCTCCTGTAAACACTAAAAAGATCCTCGAAAGGCGCGTGCTGCACCATGTGCAGCACCGGTCCGAAACGTGTTAAGAGTTTACGGCTTGTTTGGTTTTGTTTTGAGGCAGAATATGACCTCCAATGGCCTAAATCCTTGTCGAAGTTCCCACCGTTCCTAAAGTAACGAAAAGTGATCAATGATTCGCTCGATACTATAAATCTAAGTTGAAGCCTCCTTTACAGAATGGTGCTTGAATGCCGAAAAAAGAGACAATGGGAAGAAAGATATTGAAAAGTGTGTACTTACTTTTGGGACACCCTGTATATCTCAACTTGAATGGCTACTTCGAGTAGAAAGGCTTCTTTGTGCGATATCTGTCTTGCATGGTACATAATCATTTTATGCTCGTCGTACAATCTGTACCCAATCCGCATCAGCAATCATGCAGCGCATTCGCATCGTTATGGTTTTGCGTGAAGCTTACGGTCTGCCACATAAAAGGTTACTGAGTTATCTGCCCCTCTTCATTTTCTTCGGTGAATCCGGCGCAAAACGGAGCAAAGACGTAGTTTCCGCTTACGTTCTGGCCTGACCCCACCAGCTTTCAAAGGCACTGGATCGGCAAAATGGACGTCTATCAGATTTTGATAGTTTTAGATAGTAGACCCCCCATGTACACCGTAGCCCCAACCCCACCTTCCACATCATACGCTAAGTCCTGTAAAGAAGCTTCAAAACTCCACCAGCCCCGCCCACTTCCATTGAGTGGGCGTTATTGGTGGAAGTTTGCGGCCTTTCGGAACTTAGCGCATGAATTGGAGGGCGGGGGAGGGAGGGCTACGGTGTACTTGGGAGGCCTACTATCTAATACTACCAAAATCTGACAGGGGTCCATTCTGCCGATTCACTGCCTTTAAATGCTGCTCTCAGAGGCGAAAGTTCGCACAGGATTTCATAAAAGCGGCACAAAGTCGTACGAGGCGGCGACATCCTCATTGATAGAGGGTACATACAGTCTTTTTCAATACGGGTAGGCGAACATTCCAAGTGGAACAGCGCGTCCGCACCGCCATTGGAACAGCATGATAGATTAGAATGAAGAGACGCAGATTGCAAGGCGGCGCGAATCGTTATGAAGCGGACTACCGCCAGTCCAACTTCCGTCTAAACTGAGTTGAATCTTACTATATATTTCGCAATGATCACTTCTCGTCTTGGAACGCTGATTCCAAATCTGACTTCCGTTTCCCCAGTCTTCCCTGAAAAGATATGAGCGGTTTTAGCGCCGAGTTTGGCCACCCAAGGGGACGGGTGTGTTGTGCTGTGTGGTTAGTGCGATAGCCGCACAAGATGACAAAGGTGTTGGTTCAAATCTTTTCGCGTCTCTCAGCTTTGCACTGCCTCCACTGAGCTTCTTCTCAAAAGTCTGGCACCGCTGTGGTGCATGCAAATCTTTACTATTTCAAAATATGATGAAAAATTATTTTTATATAAGTGTTTTCTATATTCGTTAAATAGTGCTTATAATGAGAAAATGGATGCAGTTCAAACAAAGTGATGGGATATTATGACAAGAAGAATGAAACATAGAAGCTGCTCGCAATGGCGAATGAAGAACTTCGTTTCAGTGGCTCTCTCGCACTGACCTCTAATCCTTTGCTTGAGGCTGCCCTAAGCTGCCTCATAGAATGGAGATAAAGTGATCTATTGTAAAGTGATCTATTGTCTCCTGCTCCTTTTTGCTGGGAGCGCACGTCACATAACATGGGCCGAACTAGAAGCGAAGTCACCCTTTCGAACATCTTTTCCAACACGACTAATCGTGACTAACTATCACAACCTAAATGCAAGCAAGAAGATCGGCAAATGTTATTGCCACAGTTGTCTCGTCGCGATCAATCGCAATGGTGAAATTGCGTGAACTCTGCCCGAGGCCTTGGGCGGCCAAACTCCTCAAATCGTTTTAACTCTTTTCAATGAAACGATTAGCAGAGAAGAAAACCAGATTTGTAATCACTGTACCAAGACGAGTATGAGGGCTTAAATCTCATCTCAAAAGGTCACGGGCATCGAGTATCTTTCCCTTGTAGGACTAAGTTTGCAAAAGGAAACTTTGTCAACACTTCTCAATTCCGCTTACCTTTGAAAATCTGGATATACCAAGTGCTGAACAGAGAAAGCAAATCGTGAAGAAAAGCATTACACCGTCTATTCGGTGGCAACCCGGAAATCTCCCGAGGACCCTAAAATCACGGGCGATAGATCACACAACAGGTTATATGGTGAAAAATCAGAATATGAATGCCCAAAGGAAAAATTAAGGTTTGCGGATAAACAGCAATGAGTCCATTTAAAGAATATCTAGAATAGTTTTCTCAAGTGTCAGTTCCGACCTGGAGTCTGCTGCAATCGGTAAATTGTATTCATCAGAGTATATGTCTCTATACAACAGTTCGCGGGTATTTAGTAAAATCGTCCCTTCAGTAGTTAGAGAATCGTCCTCAAGTAGTTGGTTGCACCAGGGAAATCTAATTATCTAGTACCTTCCTCATAGAACGCAAATCGTAACAGGCACCATTATAGAAGATATTTGGTGTGCGGCAAACATTTGGAACATAGCAGTCTGTAAAATTTTGGGGTTGTTAGCGACGAGCAGCAATCCTCTAATGAAAGCTAGAGTAGAAGAACCAATAAACAGTACATGAGGTCCGGAATTTGCTTCGTGAAGACCGAAGCCTATCGCTAAGTTACACCTACCAGAACTCTGCGCCAGACATTCCACATTTCTCCTTTCGAAAAAGGTGCTACCAATGATTTCCCATATGAGTGAACATAGCCTTAATTGAGATAAATAAGATTCCGGATAGTTTCGCGCAAACCCCGTCTCGTTCGCCCATTTCTTGCCATATAGTCATTTTTTTACCGCCTCACAAGGGGAGTACAAGAAGTCGCAGCGTTTAAAATGAAAAGGGTGCGATACGTCATTTACAAAGCTTTAATCGACACCAATTTCAGTAGCTGCAAAAATTCTCTAGGAGGGGTCTACAAGCATTCTTACGTCCGAGACCGAGCGCAGTTCGATTGATTACACTCTATCCCAATTGGGATCAGGCCGGAAATTGGCGTACCGCGTTCACAATGTTAGGGCTTCGCGCCTCATCCATATGTGCACTGTCGGAGGGAGCTATGCCGAGAGCAAATCTGTGGCCGTATTCATCATTGATACCTTGAGGTAAATTCTACCTCCAGGTAGTTTTATCACTAATTATCAGCAAAATTACATTGAGAATTTACCTCAAGGTACTTTGTGAATACGGTACTTGCTGATAATGAGTGATAAAACTACCTGGAGGTAGAATTTACCTCAAGGTATCAATGATGAATACGGCCACTGTAATCACTATTCGGTGATCTTTCAAATACTGGAAATTGTCCGGATAGGTCACTTCGACTGACAACATTTCCGTCGTGAACGAAGCGCAGGATAATTGAAGAGAATGTGGTACTAGTCACTTGTTCAAGTTGTTTGCAAAAGCAATTTCTTCAAAGCATCAGCTGCTATGAGTATCAAATGCAGTTAACACGTTTCGGACCGCGAAATCGCGCGCGGCGAAAAGAGTATATTTTCAGCAGTTAGCCAGCAAAGGGAGCTTATTTCGCAGACTGTGGGCTAGATCTGTGATCAGCATGTCAAATAAGCTCCGTATCTGAAGTTCTGAGTGAATTTGAAGTGTTTGAATTTTGTCGCTTGAGAAGGACTTTCGTGCTTTATTGAAAATTAGGCAAGAACTCAGTTTCAAATAGCATTTAAAAGTATCTGTGTTGTACACTGTACACATCATTATTGAAACTACGGTTTTTCTCTTTGAAATCTAAGCAAAGAAAAGTTACGAAGTCGCACGCGTCGTTCGCGTTGCCGCACGTCGTTGCAACTGTTAATCGATTTGTCCCCATATCTTCTGAACAAATATCGGCGGCACAGCTCTATAGAGTCATTTGAAAAGTAGGAGCTTAGACCTTTGACATAATAACCTTGGACTAAAAGAAAACCTCCTGTAAACATCAGAAAGATCCTTCAAAGCAGCGTGCTGCACCATGTGCAGCACCGGTCCGAAACGTGTTAAAAATGTGAAATGTGTGAAGCGACATAGGCCCCGGGCAGACTTCACGCTATTTGATCGTCGCGACTGAATCGCGACGAGACAACTGTTACAACATCATTCCATGCTGATCAACTTGCATTCGGTTGTGATAGTTCTCCAGCCCGAAAATTTGAATGTGAAATGAAAATGAATGGAAATCTTGGCGATTAGATCGCGACGATTAAGTCGCGTAAGTCTGACCGGGCCATACGCGGCATCTCTCCAAGTTCGACCCAGCATTTTCGCGTAGTAAAGAATCCCAACAAAACAGATATTTTAGTAGGGATAATTTTTTTGTTCTTTCACTTGGCACTACATAAAGCCACCGTTAAGAAGTTGCGAACAAACGCCCTTCTTTCTTCATCGCTCATTTTCCGATGGAAAACAAGGAGGAAAAAGTGATCGATTGCATAAGATGACAGAGCTCTTCAAAAGATACAACCCACGCATTATGCTTCCTGGAAAACATGGATTCTAAAGTCAGAAATCTTTTACCAAAGAATACTTCAAAGCTGGCCCCGAAGTCGTGGAGAACGACCCTTCGAACGCGAAATTTTTCTATCGAGTTCTTTTCTGAAACGGAAGCACAGGTAAGAACATTTGAACATGCTGTTATATAGAGCTCATCAAGGACTATGGTATGGTTATGGTCACTCAAAATATGCAAGCTTGGACTTTGTTATGCATTTTTTGAAAAATTACTTCCGATTTTCTCTTTCAAAACAAGTTTCTTGAACGAAAACCGATGAACATACACCAAAGCTTTGGAGATAAATGCTCTTTATAGTTGACTGCACGGAATCGAATGGGTTGAACGCCGCGAGGAGTATCTTGCGGGCTAACATGGCATTCGCGCGCATGAGTCATCATAGCGCCCATACTCGGCAGCCGCGTTGCAGGCGCACTCGCATGCGTTCACCCTACAGCGATCCGGGCGATTTCGTGCAGTTGACTTTACCATACTCTTTGCATCAGATGTGCTTCAGTGAGTTTTTGCTGAAAACGGCTCTTGGAAGTGAGTGCACATGACCTGCCTGCACCTCACCAGCAACTTGTACCGCTTTACAGGCTTGTAGCTAGGACGGCAGTCACTCTACGAGCCTGTATGTAGGCTCATTCGAAAGGGGAGACTTCCTCGATGCAAGGGTGTGCAGACGAGGTGAGCTTGAGAAATCTTGAGGATGAGTTGAAAAAGCGCAGCATCAGTGGAAGACTGAAGAGTTTCCAGCTAAAGTTGAGCAGAGCTCCTTTCATTAGCAACTTTATCCGGGAAGATCAAGATTGTCAATTTTCTTAATATAAATCAAATTCGATTTGAGACTGTTTTGGTGTCGATAAGAGCCTTCGCCTCAATCAGCACTTGTCGTGTTGAGGAAGTCTCGTCCTTTCGAATGAGCCTACACACAGGCTCGCAGAGTGACTGCAGGCCAAGCTACAAGTGAGCGGTATAAGTCATTGGTGAGGTGCAGCTGAGGTTATGTGTATGCACCTCCATAGCTATTTCTAGCAGAGGAACTCATTAGACTTTTCCGATGCATAAAAAAGGTAAAGGGCATCTATTTTGATCAAACAGACTTGATGCCTCGAATCGGTTCCAATGTGAATTTGGTTCAGAGAAGGGGATCAAAAGTCCACTACTATGCAAAATGTTAGGTTGTCACATAAGTCTTGTTATACATGTTGACTTTTCGACGCGGTAATTTGCGAACTCTCAATTTTGATCAGACTTTAGGGTACCATTCGATAGAGCAAATCAACCTCTACAAGACTGGGTGCAAAAGTTTGTCCCAACTTTTCCACGAGAAGTTTGATGCCAAAAACTAAAAAGATCCAGCCAAAAATCGAGAAAATTCGGAGGTCCTTTCAGCAAAATTCCACAAAACCATCACACATATATGCAGCTGCCGTATTTTTTTCTTCTATAAATAGAGAAAATGGAAATTTTCAAGTTTCCAACAAAGCAATGCTGAGCTGTTCTCACCCCAAAAGTTGTGTATTAATTCACCCTAACCCTTGTGTACTAAAGCCTTTGAAAGTACAATTGTGTATTTTCAGTTTTCTAAGTGTTAGTTTTCAAAATTTTGGCTTTTCTTACTAAGGTTTTTGGTGCTAAAATCGATATTTCTCGAAAATTAACGCTTATAGAAAGCTGAGAATTCACGATGACGATTGTACTTCTGAAGCCTTGTAGTATATAACCGTTAAGATGAGAATAGCTCAGCCTTACTTTGATAAAAACTTAGTAAAAAACTCCATTTTCTCTGTTTCTAGTCGATGAGAAAATAGGCACCTGCATATATGAATGTCTGATATGTGTAAAGCGCGTACAAGTTAAAATTTTTGTAGGATTCTTCTGTAAGGAGTTCCAAATTTTTCTCGATTTTTTGAGCAATTACCTTTCTTATTTTTGACCTCGAATTTCGCGTGGATAAACTTGGGGCGAACTTTTACATATAATTTTGTAAAGCTTGATTTGCTCTGTCGAATGATAACCTAAAGTCCGACTAAAATCAAGAAGTTTGTGACTTATTGCGGTAAAAGTATAAGTGCAACAAAACTTACAACCTTATGAAAATCTAGATTGCGCTTTTTCAACGAAGTAGTCAGGACCAGATATGGTCCTTGCTGTGTTCTGTATAAGAATAAGGTTATTTGTTCGATTGCTCGTGTTTTCGTTTCGAAATGAGCCCACAACCAAATTTTCGCGTTCGCAAAATCGTTCCGCAACTTTGGGACGCCGCCACTTTTGGACTTTTTTATAAGAGATTTTTGAAGATTTTTGGAATCCGTGTTTTTCGGAAAGCTGTTTTTTTTAGAATATCTGGGTTGTAGATTATGAATTCTATTATCTCACGCAATTTGATCATTTTTTTTCGTCCTTGTTTTCCGTGTGAAAATGAGGGACGAAGAAAGGACGGCGGTTTGTCCACAGTTTTTTGGCGGTCACTGTATCCACAAACTCCTACAACCGAGAAAATAGATTACCTGTGTTCTGTCCTCAACCCCAGTATGAGTACCATGCGCATAGCAAGCATAGCGTAACCGATTCCTAAGTGGATTATTAGAAGACAGGTGATTCTCATTGTTTTATAATAAAACTTTTGATATTTCTATGAGTCTGATATAATGTTTCTAGGAAAATAACAAGTGAAAGGCTACTATTAGATCCTTTTGGAAGTTTTTGTTGTTTTTTGCGTCCTTGACATTGGTACCATATTTTGAAGGGTGCCAAGGGGCGATGAGGGTAGCTATACATTGGGTTGATGCATAATTCCTGCACCAAAATAGGTACAGACCGTTTATAATCCGGAATAATCCTGTATTCCAAATAGGATTCGATATATCGTTAGATAGAGCAAACCTAGCTCTACAAGACAGTGCTTGAAGATTTGCAGTAGCTATAATCCAAGCGAAGATTGAAGCAAAAACTAAAAAGATCCAAGGGCCCCAAAAAATCAAGAAACAAAAATTGAAACTCGGTTCAGAAATATCCTACAATTCTTAACCTGCTCATGCATCGTCATTTCGTAAGACATTTTCCTATGCAGTTGCTGTATTTTTCTCTCAGCTAGAAATTGAGAAAACGAAGTTTTTCATGTTTTTTTCCAAAACAATGCTGAGATGTTCTAGCACTGACAGTTGTATACTATAGGACCTTAACACATTGACGACCGCTTGACACACATGGTGTGTCAAGCAATGACTACCGCGTGGGACCGCTTGACACACCATGTGTGTCAAGGCTTGAATTTTGTTAAATTAACTACTATACTTTAATAAACACACTTCACGAGCTTTCTTCTGCACTGAACCTATGGATGACCTCTACTGTTATTTTCAGCGTTTCAGACCCACTGTAGGTGTACTGTAGATGGCAGTAGGCGTAAGTATAGTTGAAAAATGCGGGCTGGTCCGTGAAAGGCCTTGGTCCAAGAAGGCAGACAACTAAAAATCTGCATGGTCGTCAATGTGTTAAAAGCGTGAGTGTGAATTTTCAGCTCTTTACAGCAGCTAGTTTACAAAAACTATCGATTTTTTAGCAACTAGGCAAGAAAAATTGGGATAAGGAGAGTTAGATTCGTCATTTCTCGTGAAGCAGCAGTTCTAGAAGGCTAAAAATATAGAGTTTCACTGCTAACGGCAGGTACTCTACAACTGTTAGTGCTAGAACATCTCAGCACTGATTTGGCAAAAACATGAAAAACTTCGTTTTCTCATCGTCTAGCTGAGAAAAAATACAGCAACCGCATAGATAAATGTCTTACGTGGAATGTGTACGCGTGAGTAAGAAAGAAATTTTGTAGGAGCTTTTTGAACGAGGTTACAGTTTTGTTTTGATTGGTCTTGATGTTATCGGACGCATGGTTTTTTTTTCGGTTTTCGGCTCAAAACTTCGCGACTCAAAACACGATCAAAGCTGGTGTAATAGCTCCTGCAAGACGAAGGCGGTCGGTTCAATGCGCAACGCGGCTGCGACATGGCTGCGTCACAGCCGCGTCACAGCCGCGTCACAGCCACGTCGTACCTCGAACCGACCGCCTTCGTCTTGCAGGAGCTTATAGATATTTGAGCACTATCTTGTAGAGCTAGGTTTGCGCTATCTAAGGATTATCGAATTCTATTTGGGATATAGGATTATCTTATATATAAAGCTGAATGTCTGTTTGTCTGTCTGTCTGTCTGTCTGTCTGTCTGTCTGTATGTCTGTCTGTCTGTGTGTACGTATGTTCCGAATAGAAAATTCCATTTCTGAACCGATCCGGACCAAACTTGGCACACATACGCTACGGGCCCCGGCGGGTGTCATAGGCTACTTTTCGTCATCGATCGATATCGATTTTATCGATTTTTATCGATTTTTTTGCTGAGTTCACCTACGGGTCTGGGAGTTGGCACAGGGGGGTAATCGAGCATGGGGATTCCGAATACAATATTGGTTTTCAGGATTATCGATTACTTTTATCGATTTTATCGATTTTTTTGCAAAGTTTGAGCTACGGGGCTGGGAGTTGGCACAGGGGGGTAATCGAGCATGGGGATTCCGAATACAATATTGGTTTTCAGGATTATCGATTACTTTTATCGATTTTATCGATTTTTTTGCAAAGTTTGAGCTACGGGGCTGGGAGTTCGCGCAGGGGGGTAATCGAGCATGGGGATTCCGAATACAATATTGGTTTTCGGGATTATCGATTACTTTTATCGATTTTATCGATTTTTTTGCAAAGTTTGAGCTAGGGGGCTGGGAGTTGGCACAGGGGGGTAATCGAGCATGCTGATCATCCCCAAGGGGGTGATCAGCATGCTCGATTACACCCCTGTGCCAAATTCCATCCCCCTAGCTCAAATTTTGCAAAATCGATAAAATCGATAGAAGTAATGGATAATTCCAAAAACTAATATTGTATTCGTAATCTGCATGCTCGATTACCCCCCTGTGCAAACTCCCAGCCCCGCAGGTCAAACTTTACAAAAAAATCGATAAAATCGATAAAAGTAATGGACGATCCTGAAAACTAATATTGTGTTCGTAATCAGCATGCTCGATTACCCCCTGTGCAAAATCCCAGCCTCGCATGTCAAAATTTACAAAAAATCGATAAAATCAATAAAAGTAACCGATAATTCTGAAAACTAATATTGTATTCGGAATCCCCATGCTCACTTCCCCCCTGTGCCAACTCCTAGCCCTGTAAGTGAACTCTGCGAAAAAATCGATAAAAATCGGTAAAATCGACATCGATCGATAACGAAAAGTGGACTGTGACACGCGCCGGGGCCCGAAGTGTATGTGTGCCAAGTTTGGTCCGGATACGGCGGAGCCGGGTAAGCCAGCTAGTTCCGCAATATTGCGGTCTGTACCTATTTTGGTGCAGGAATTATGCATCAACCTAATAGTATCTAATAGTATTAGGTTGGTGCAAAAGTAATGCGCGTTCTCTTAGCATTTGTTACAGGACAACTTTTTTCATCAATCTTTCGTCGTTAAAAAAAACTTAGCATACTATGAAGCTTTCCTCTATCCGATGGTGGTTGAAACGGGTTTTGGCCTCATTCGTTAAGAATTTAGTTACAATTTACAGAATTCGAACAACCGCAGTCAAAACGAGAATCTCAATGCATTGACTTTTCTGGTTAACAAGCGCGAATAAACGCTACTATGTGTAATAAAAATTATCTACCTTATGCACAATCTCTATATATATAAAGCAGAAAATTTGTATGTTTGTGCACATTGTGCAGGTTGTGCAGGGTGTGCAGGGGTGCAGGGTGTGCATGGTGTGTAGGGTGTGCAGGTTGTGCAGGGTGTGCAGGGTTGGGAGGAGGGTAAGTGAACTTGCTGATTCGGATACATTATTGACAGGACCGGGCGGAGCCGGGTTTGCCAGCTTGTTTACTATATTCTTGAAAATTACTAGACTGAGATGCGTCGCCTCAACATGAATAGTTTGGTCATTCTGTGGCCAACGAATTTCCTCTAAAGAAGAATGTCGTCAAAGCTTTGCTCATTTCTGTAAGCTCAAGGGTGGGCCTCCTGTTGAGAGTTTTTGAAAAAATGTCTAGCTGTTCAGTACCCCGGAAATCAAAAAACTCCATATATCTGGACTTTGAGGCCTACGAAACAATGTTGAAAAAAGCTGAGAATTATGGATTTTGATTTATTCGTTTTCGCAGATCTTCTTGTTTCAGCCCTTTCCATCCTTTTCGTACTAGTGGCTTGCGGCTACAAGGTAAGCTACTCATTATTTATACTAACGAATGTTGAAAGAAGTTACGATCAGAAATACGAGTCTCAAAAAACTATTCTGCTCATCGATCCATATTTTTCCTCGTTGGTGTTATGAGTGCAGATGATTGTGCGTTGTATTGAAAAAGGTTGTTGCTTTTAATGATCTTTGTAGCATGGAGCAATATAGATTTTTTAGAAAGTTATGACACGCCAAAAAGAGAGCTCGCAAAACACACATTACCCCAATTACGAGTACAGGACGCACTTGTTTTTTTCTAGATTCGACCAGCCCGAGCGCACTCAAACATTTCGTGGCCAGAGAACCCTATACAGTGCTGCGTATCGCCTGAGAGTATGTGCGGTATGAGTTTCGTTTTCCGAAACACAACGAGGCAACTGAGCGGCTCGCTCAAAAAATAGGAAAAGGCGCGCCCCGTACCCGTAAAATTAGGGTAAATGCATCAACCCAATAAATGCCTAAATCCCCAAGAGAAAACGAAAAACGCGAGAAATTGTGTGCTTTCGTTGCTCACAACTTGCTAGAACAATTCAATTTCCATTTTGGCTGTTACCTGAAGCAAAAAATGGATTAGAGACGACTCTAAGGAGCGGCAATGTGATTAATTATATGGAACAAGCATAGGCAAGAATTATAAGCATAAGCATGAACACAGTCACGCTGGTTTACGCTGTATCCTCATAACGTCTATGTAGGTAGAGCAGAGTCAAATGATAACGATTTGAAGACCTTTTGTCAAATTTTGAAAATGGAGCAGATTAGCAATACAAGTATAAAAGGTGTCATCCTCGCCCGCGATGAAAATTTAGCACGTAAAACAGGCAGCGCTCCTGGAGCCTATGCTATAATAATAGGCAATCAATTTGTTGCACAAGTTCTGCCTGATTTTTCTTGCCTTGTGTTTAACAGCTCTGTTGAAAGATTGTCGCCTTTAATGTGATAGCATTTGTGTTTGAAAACCCTTCTCCTGCTCAGTCCGTTCATGTTGAACCTCAAAAAATCCTCAGTTTAACGAGATTGCAGGCCTCGGCCCGACTGGCCAAAGTACTGTTTCCACTTCACAAAGCGCTGGCTGAATTAGGCCGTTACAGCGTTTACAGAAAAAGGTTGTAAAGAGCTACCATAGCATACTGCTTTCGTACAAACTGTCTTGCCTGTAGACTTTGCGGTCAAAAGCGAGATATTCATACCAAGTTCCAAAAGCAATAATCTTTTGTGGGTATAGGAGATCGAAAAGTTCAAGACGAAGGCGCTGAGTAAAGCAGAGCTGCCAAGGCCTATCCTTAAACACCGCTTAAAG